ATTCCATTTATTCAAGATACAATCTTCTGTGCTAAATTATATTAATTCAATGACATATTCGGTTAGGTTTTCACAAGTGTCATTGTTTGAGATGCTTAGAGAGTAGAAGTGAGGACTGTGGAATGATAAGGAAATCGCCATTGAAACCTGCATAGTTTGAGATGCTTAGAGAGTAGAAGTGAGGCTTATCAGTGCTTATGGAAGCATCTCTATAAGCAGAAGAGAAAAACATAAATGATGGTGAAGAGGCGAAAGGTTCTGTTAAGGCTTCCATATGCGTTAGAAGCTTCCCTCCAATGAGTTCCTGCTGTTACAGACAATATGGATGGAAATGGAATTGAAAATAAACAGAGCCTATCATGACTTTGGAATCGCAGATTCTGAGTTTTAGTTCTAAACCTCCTTTCACCATCACGAGTCTCTTGTGATTTTCTCTGCTATTCCGTGTCTATAAATGTTCATAAACAGTGACGTTTCTATAGACCTTTTTAAACAGATTGATTTTGGGATTGTGGCTTGTGGCTTGTAAAAAACCATTGATTAATGTAATTTGGTTATGGATGTCTTGTTTATGTGTAAATGCAGGTTCTTCCACCTCCTAATGTTACCGGAGCTCTACACATTGGTCATGCTTTAACTGCTGCTATCCAGGTTTATATTATGCCTTGCACTACAAAAACAGAAAATAGAAAGATTTATAAGTAGAACCTTATAGACACTTATGAATTTAGTCCACATGTTTTTTCAATATGAAAAGAAGTGCATAACAATGAATAAGGAATGTGCTAGTGAACAATCTCATGGCCTTATGACTGGACCTTCAAATAATATCCACAAAGAACTGAAATTTGATTATGTAGATAACTTTGACAGACATAATTCAGGTTTTACAAATAGTGTTTCACCTTTACAATATCATACAACTGAGAAATATCAGGTATCACATTCAGATATGTTTGGAGGTTATGATGACAAACCGTTGCTGATGAGTTCAAATGCAAAGCATTTAGGTAACTTAAGAGGTGATTGATTGTCCGTCCATAATACAAGTATGCAGTGATGAAGAAGCTACTAATTTACCCTTCAAATTTTAATTTGTGTTTGATTGAGGTACACCCCCTTATCATTTTTTATATTCCAGAACACAAAAGACATATACACCCCTAATGTTTTCTGTGAGTTTCAGCTTCAAGAGGAGGCTGCTTTGGCAATCAAATGTATTGATAAATGCAAAGAATGGGGGATTTAAATGGTTGGTTGGTAATAATAAATTAAAGTGCATTGTGAAAAATTTTAATTTGTGTTTGATTGAGGTACACCCCCTTATCAATCTTTTTTCTCAGCTTTTTTACAAGCTGATTTCTTTATGGTTTGTTTAACTACAGGTGAAGATTATAAAGTGCCTTGTTGAAAACATTATGGTAGATATATCTTTTAATCAACTTGGAGAATTGTGTACCCTTTGCTTTCTTTAGGAGGTTGATAATCTGAAAAACCATAACCATTTGTTTAAGAGGAGCATTATACTAATCAAAGCCTGGTGTTATTATGAGAGCCACATACTTGGTGTTCACCATGGGCTCATATCAACTTATGCCCTTGAGACTTTGGTTCTTTACATATTCCATGTTTTCAACAATTCTTTTGTTGGACCTCTTGAGGTTGTTTAACACACAATTTACAAACATACCCTTTACAGGTATGTATTTGGAACCAAGTTATTGAAAATTTATGGTGTGTGTCCAGGAGGTAATAAAATCCAGGAGACATCTTCCATTGATGCCCTAAACTCTTATCCTGGCTTAATGGTAGGTAAGCTTATTTATCTTTATTTTTGCTCACAAATCTGATAACTATGGTTGCAGAAAGCAGTCAAACAATAACATTAACACTTAGGTAACAGGAATAATAACATTAACAAAAACAAAAACAGTGAAGGTAGAGTAACAATAGCAATAACAATAAACATAAATTATTACTGTATAATCATATGTAGCAGTCTCTGTATCCTGTAAGAACTCTGGTTTATTTATTTATTTTTCCTTATTTTTTTGCAGTCATCTGGCCCATGTTGTTTAACCATTCAACTGATGGATGTTGGGAATGCAAAGACTGATGTGGTTGCGGTTTCTGTGGATCATAATTTTTCAACTTATCTTCACAATGGTTTTCTTTCTGTTGTGCCTGGAAAAAAGGATTCTGGTATTATGTTGCAGAGGTAATAACTAATAAATATTAATACTTCTTATGACATTGAGTAAATAAGTATCTATTTATGTTCATATTTAATTTGTTTCCTAATTACATGCAGAAATAAATGCCAATTCTCAGGTATTGATGAATCTTCTGCTATATCAGCTGTCATGGAAGGCGTACATGTGGTGAATGGTTTGGAGTATAAGATGTATTGCAGCTCATCAAAGGTAATTATTATCGTATGCGATTTATTTTGCATCTGATTAAACTGCACAAGTGCACCACTCTATGGAGGAAGTGACGACCTGCTTTCTGATGCCCCTTCATTTGACCTACCAGTTACATCAGATGTGAGTTTCTTTACAATTCTTGCCTTTTTCTCTTTTCCTTTCTGCTAGATATTAAGTGAATGTATATATTGCTAAAACACTACATCAAATCCTTTGCTTCAGTTTGATGGATTTCAGAAGAATTCTATCCAAATGGTAAAACCAGCAAAAGGAACAACAACTTTGGCTTTTATTTTTAAGGAAGGTGTGATGGTTGCTGCAGATTCCCGAGCTAGCATGGGAGGCTATATATGTATGCATTTCTCCTTCTAAATTATAATATATCTTTACTTGATTAATAATTAATTATGAATCGAAAGCAACATGATTTGAAAGCATTAAATAGTCTTCAAAAACACTCGTTTAATTTTTTTTTTTTTTTTTTTTTTTGCAGCATCTCAATCTGTGAAAAAAAATCATTGAAATTAATCTGTATATGTTGGGCACAATGGCTGGAGGAGCTGCAGATTGTTAAAAATGGGAGTTCTATCGCCAAGATGTCCAGTACATTGTTAAAAATGGGAAAGCTCTTATAATAAACGAGGTATTAAAAATCGTATTTTTATTTTAGGAGAAAAAAGTTATATTGCTGTAAATTAATGTTCATTTGAAGTTGACGGGGAGAGTGGAAAAAAAAGACGATGGTCAGAGGGGATTCACCTGGTTGTGGAGGCAAAAGAAGGGTTACCAATCCAGGTATATATTGCGATTGCCTGCCACATCATCATTCTTTTTGACAACTCTTGTTTAAAGCTATTACCTTGTATTCCTCTTGGGCTTTGCAGGCTGATTCAGTTGTAGTGGCACAAATCACATACCAATCAATGTTTAAGCTTTATCCAAAGCTTTCAGGGATGACAGGAACTGCAAAAACTGAAGTAAGTATTCACTTTCTATATGGGCTAAAAATATAACAAGTAACAATAACTACTTGTTTTCATCTATTTGTGTGTTATAGCATCCTACTTTCATTGCTTTCTACCATACTAGCATACTCTTTAAAAAAGATATCTTTCATAAGGCACTGTACTTTGAAAACTATACCACTTATGGTTATAGCTGTATACTTTCATTTTTTTTTCTTTTTAGGATGTTGTACTGAGAGTAGGATGCTGGTAATTAGAAATAGGTAGCTATTCTTTCATTTGGCCCTAACGTTAATGTGAATGGTATATGGTTTTGGGTAAATAACGCAGCTAAATACGTGGGCAAAAATGAGAACAAGAGTTGGACATATGAGAAGGCAAAATCTATAATTTCAGAGTCAATTGAAATGAGCCAGTCAATGGGTTTAGATGAACTGCAAAGGCTTGTGGAAGAACAGGCAGAGATGTACCCTCTTGGTCCTTGCATTGCAATTGCCTATTTATCGGTTCTAAAGGACTGTGAGATTCATTGCTTTCATGAAGGATTGGAAGTCAAACGACTTGGTGGTCTCCATGTCATTGGGACATCTCTGCATGAGTCCCGAAGAATTGATAATCAGGTAACATTGCATCAGTATTGTGTTTTAAGGTTTTACATAAATTTAGCATATACTTTCAGACTCACTTTTTTAATTTATTTCTTGCTTTACAAATCTTCGTGGCAGAGCAGGAAGGCAAGGAGATCCTGGATCAACACGCTTCATGGTCAGGTAAGTTCTGTTAAATGATTTTTATAAAGTTTAAAGTCAATCCTTTCATCTGGACAAAATTCTTCATGTTAAATTACGTAATAGTCCTTGGAGTAGTTGACATGAACAGTTTTTTTTTTGTTAGAATGATTCCATATATATGTGCAAGCAAGCACATGCCTTGTGAAAAAGGGAAATCTATTCTAGTCATTCTCTTTAACAAGGCAACCTTAAAGTTGATTTTTTAAACCTGATGTTTAAAACTACATTGAGTGTGAGATAGAAGTTTATGCAGAGAAGGAAAAAGATAGAAGTTTTTGAGGATGTTGCTGATGAAAAAGATAGAAGTTCTTTAGGATGCTGCTAATGAAGTTTATGCAGAGAAGGAAAAAGATAGAAGTTGTTGGCACATAGTAAGCTAGATAATGCAATTGTATATAAATGAGTTCATTTTTTTTATAACATTTACTCACTATTGGAATAATTATTTGTATTTGACATATTAGTGAAATGAATTATCTTTGTTATTTATGGTATTTTATTTATTATTATGAGATTTCTAATGTATTATTTAATATGAAAAATTAGTAAATCTATAAATAATATTTTTTTTTAAACATTTAAAATTATCATACGCAAAAATGTGTGTCATCTTTATTTATGACATGGCCTTTCTTGACAGTGGCTTCCTTGATACGCATTGCGTGTCATAAACATGCGCGTCGTAAGGTTACGACACGCAAATGCGTGTCGTCTTCCTTTATGACAGGGCCTTCCTTGATACGCATTGCGTGTCATAACCGCGCGTCGTAAATGCACGTCATAAATGCGTGTCGTAAATGCGCGTCGTCTATAGACGACGCGCAAAAGCGCGTCGTCTCTCTTTATGACAGGGCCTTCCTTGACACGCATTTGCGCGTCGTCTGAGCATTTTACGACGCGCAATGAGCGTCGTAAAAGGCCTTTTTTCTAGTAGTGCACAATACTTCTGGGCAGAAGCAATAGCCACATCTTGCTATACTCAAAATCGTTCCTTAATCCATAAACATCTTCATAAAACACCATATGAAGTCATTAACAACTGAAAACCAAACATCAAATTTTTTCATATTTTCGGTTGTCGATGCTTCGTAAAGAATAATAAAGATCAACTTTCAAAATTTGAATCAAGGTCGGACGAAGGAATTTTCCTTGGTTACTCGTTTTCTTCAGCTGCTTATCGAGTACTGAATAAACGTACTAGAGTAATTGAAGAAAGTACCGATGTTCATTTCGATGAATTTTATGTTAGGAAATTGGATCGTGAACATTTTTATTCAAAAATGATTGAAAATATTTTTCAAAATCCAATTCAACAAACACCTTCTCCTGACATAGACATTGAAATCGATCTTGATTTGCTTTTTGAACAACTAAAAACCACTTACAATTCTGAACTTCTAACTACTTTAATTGACCCTACAGGAACACCCAGTGAAGTAATTCCACAAACAAACCAAAATGATGCAAATCAATTCGAGGGGGAACCACCAACACATACTTCCTCTTTGGAACAAACACCAAATCCTCCTTTAAACACCCCATCCCCAAATAGCCAAAACAATCCCGATGCATCATTTATGAGGGAACCTTCAAACCTATTCCAAGATGAAACACCCGAAGAAGAACAATGGGATACTGAAACTCCAATTATTATAGCGGAAGAGAATCGCTTAATAAAGTGGACCAGAAATCATCCAACAGACCAAATCATCGGAGATCCCAACTTAGGCATTCAGACTAGAGGCGCGTCCACAAATGAATGTTTATTTGGAGCCTTCTTATCCATGACTGAACCCAAAACCATACATTCTGCTATAAAAGATCCAGATTGGGTAAAAGCTATGCAAGAAGAGCAAGCAGAATTTGAAAGAAACGACGTATGGAATCTTGTTCCTACTCCACCCGATGTTACTGTTATAGGTTCAAGATGGGTATACAGAAACAAGACTGACAATCAAGGAATCATTTGTCGAAACAAGGCACGTCTTGTAGTCAAAGGATATTCACAACAAGAAGGAATCGACTACGATGAAGCATATGCTCCAGTTGCCCGAATTGAAGCAATTCGCATCTTTCTTGCATATGCTGCACATAAGAATTTCAAAGTATTCCAAATGGATGTTAAATGTGCATTCCTACATGGAGAGATAGATCGCAAAGTATACATCCAAAACCACCAGGTTTCGAAGATCCCAAATTTCCAGATCACAGCTTTAAATTGCAGAAAGCTGTCTACGGCTTGAAACAAGCACCTCGAGCTTGGTATGCCACGTTGTCAACCTTTCTCGAAGAATCAGGTTTTAAAAGAGGTTCAATTGATCAAACCCTCTTTCGTAAAATCTTTAATAAACATCTGTTAATCGTACAAATATATGTTGATGACATTATTTTCGGTTCTACTGATGAATCTTTAAGTGTTAAGTTTGCAGATCTAATGAAGAGCAAATTTGAAATGAGCATGATTGGGGAGATGACTACTTTTCTCGGACTTCAAATCAAACAGTCAACTGATGGCATTTTCATCAACCAAGAGAATTATGTCAAAAACCTACTCACTCGTTTTTCAATGGAAAAATCCAATACCGCAAAAACCCCAATGGCTTTTGGATACAAAATTGATGCAGACTTAAATGGCAAACCCGTTGACCAGAAAAGATATCGTGGAATGATCGGATCACTCTTGTACCTCATTGCCAGCAGACCTGACATCATGTTTTCTACATGTGTTTGTGCTAGATACCAAGCAAATCCTATGGAATCCCATGTAGTTGCTGTGAAACGCATCTTCAAATACCTTAAAGGCACTCCCAAACTTGGCCTTTGGTATCCAGCTAAATCCGATTTTCAGCTGAACGCTTTCACCGACTCAGACTACGGAGGATGCAAGCTAGATAGGAAGAGTACATCTGGTAGCTGTCAATTCCTAGGAGGTAGACTAGTGAGTTGGACTTCAAAGAAACAGACTTGTGTGTCCACATCAACAGCAGAAGCTGAATACATAGCGGCCGCCAGTTGTTGTTCACAAGTCATATGGATGCAAACTCAACTGCGTGACTATGGCTTCAAAATCTCACAAATTCCCATATTTTGTGACTCAACCAGTGCAATTGCCATTTCTCACAATCCCGTTCACCATTCCATGACAAAGCACATCGACATTCGATATCACTTTATCAAAGACAACATTCAAAAGGGTCATATCGAACTACACTTCATCAACTCCGAAGATCAAATTGCCGATGTCTTCACTAAGGCTCTCGATGAAACAAAGTTTCAATACTTCCTAGGCCGTCTAGGAATGTTAAATCAGATAACATCCATCCTTAAACTTTTACTTTTTGTTTGTACAAAAGTGTGTTTACTTTCACTCAAAAAGAAAATTCAAAAACATTTGAAAACTGCTTTCTTTTCAAAAAAAACCAAAAACATTGAAATAACCAATATTTCCAAAAACATTCAGAAAAACAAATCTTCAAAAATATAATAAAAGACTTGCCGTAATAAGCTTTTATAGAACCTTGTGATTAATCGTCTTTTGACTTAATTTTCAGATGCTTATGCTCGATGAAGATTTTAAGTCATATTGATTCTCAATTGGAGTGAAGGTTCAAATCTCCTACTTTTCATAATGTACATAACTTTATTTCCTTCAATTTTATTTCATTATTGATGATTTTAAAAAGGGACATAAGGTTAGGAGGTTCAGATGAAAACAAAAACCCATGTGAGAATTTGTGCCTCATCAATCTGAATCATTGTGGAATTCATTTCTTGTGAGCTTAGGTGTGTCACTATTGCTTATAAGGTATATCCGATTATACCTTGTCACGGTCTCATTTTTGCTTAGATATCAAAATGACCAGGGACGATACATTCATTTCTTACATACTAGACAAACTGTCTTTTATGCCACTAATCCCTACCTAGATATAAGCCAACCAAAAATGATGTCTTGAGATCCCGTGATCCATCAACAAGAAAAGATGAAACAAGATAAAGAAGAATCAACAAGAAAGCTAAATCATTCACCGAAGAAATACCAAACAAAAAAAAAAAAAAAAAACTCTACATTTGGTATTTTCAAACAAAGTTCAACCAAATGGTTATTTCAAAGCAAACATCAAAAGATCTCGTGATCTGTTTTTAACCATTTTTCACAAAAAGGGATATCTTAATCCCGCAAGATAGATACTCTCAAAAATCCCAATTTTCTCAAATAGCAAATTCTCGATGCTAAAACAAAATATCCTTTTACAACAAATAGATATTGATCAACAAAAAGGATACCATCAAAGAAAAAGCTGCAACAACAATGGATTTCCCGGGATACTGTAGCCTTCATCACTGAAGATTCTTAGTTGCAAACTGCACTATGAAAATTGCTAAACCCCTCTACATGTATTTCCCGACGGAGAGAGAGTGAACTTAAATGGTATGAATGAAGAAACCCGCTGAGTAATGCCGAAACCAGTCTTATGTGATTGATTATCTAATAATGAGACTAAGTGACCTTTCGGGAAAAGCATAGTTGAACACCTCCAATATGAGTGTGAGTCGTCAGAGAGAGATATCACTCGTTTTTAGTGATCATTAACTTGTTCTGCTGCCAGAACAACCAAACACCCAAGTGAAGTGTGAGCTATACCTATGAGCGTTCATCTGAATCGACCTGTTAAACCACTTGTCGTCATTAATAATGCTATAAAATCTTAAGAAATTTCTTTAGATACATATATGGCTACCCTTTGATAACCGAACCCGAGACTTTGATTCGGAAACAAATTTCTGAAAATCTTTTACATAAGATATGTTAAACCAAGTCACAAACTTTCAAATCAATTGCTATGGTTTTATATATATATATATATATATATATATATATATATATATATATATATATATATATATATATATATATATATATATATATATCTTATCTATTGACAAATCTTTTATCTCAAATCTTCAAAAGTTAAACTGTCAATATGATTATATCA